GATTTATGATACAAGAATTACCAACTATCACCAGTTCATTATGGCATTACAAAGTTCTTTGGAAAATTCATTGGAGGTTCTAAAATCACAACAATAAATTAAAGGTATCCGAATGATAATTTGCAGTATTTGAATTGATTATAACACTGCATTTTTGGGTTAATACTTTACAATCGATAATGATCTGACAAAGGTTTTAAAAATAAAATGCAGGTTAAGGTTATCAAAATTCATGATTATGACACAATGTTTGGTGTAAGACATCATAATTGATTATGATATCTCATTGGTAGGTAAATGATAACAAAATCATATCACATATATATTGAATATGATATAAACATGTTTCATGAGAATGCAATGATAGTTTCTGTAGTATATGTTTATCTCCATATGGAGATGTATGCGGTATTGTCTTTACCCATTGATTCACTGATGGGTGCCTGGGTTGATTCCATTTCTCAGGTTTTCTGAACTGAGCTTCAGCAAACATTGAAGTACACATAAGTCTCATGTGCTGATTTCTTTCTTGGAAAATACTCAGAAGAGGGATGCATGGACCTCATAGCAGGTCAATTTCTGAGTACTCTCCAAACTGTCTTCCATAATGGCTGTGAAGTTTACATTCTTATGACAGTGGACTAGGTTACTTTTTCCAACATCCTTAGCAGCATTCATTGTTGTTGTTTTTGTTTGTTTTGTTTTTTTGGTTTTTTTCTGTATCATATCCATGCTAACTGGAGGGAGATGAAGCATCATTGTTTTTTGTTGTTGTTGTTACTTTTCCCTGAAGGCTATCATTATCCTGAATTATTTTTTTGTATATATTTGGTTGTCTACTTAGATAGCATTCTCGGAAGACTGCCTGCCCTTGTAATTTGCCTCTTTTTAAACTGGACTGTTTGTTGGCTGTTGCTGCATTTGTGGAATTCTTTTTGGATTCTGGATGGGCCCTTTATCAGCTTCATATTCTGCAAATATTTCCTCAAATTTCCTGCTTGCATCTTCATTTCCTTGCAAATTCATTTGCAATACAGAAGCTTCTTAGCTTAATACATTTCTAATTGTATTTTTCACAGCTTTTGGCATATTTTATGATTGTTTCTTATTCATATTAAGTGAGCTAATCCCCCATATTTTATTACACAGATTTAGAAGCATACAATAACTCCCATCCTCCTGCTTGCCCATATGCCCCACTCAACTTTCTTCTTGTTTCTACTTTGCCCTGATATTAATAATAATATATTTTCATTTCACTTTTCAATCACAGACTTAACACTGCATTAACAATGCTATTAACACATAGCAAATAGAAAGAAAAAAAAAACTGCTATTCATCAGTATTACAAAATGGCTTAAATGATAAACATATCCCAGGATGTCAGTCTCACTCACACAGATTACAGATACTATTCTTTGTGTTAGTTATTACAAGAAAAACATATGATGTTTATCTTTCAGGGACTGACTTATTTCAGTAAGAATAATAGTTTCCATGTGGATCCATTCCACTGCAAACCTCGAGGCTCCATTCATTTTTATGGTTCAGTCACATTCCATAAGGCATTTGTACCACATTTTATTTTTTCAATAATCAGATTATGGGTTTCTTGGATGCTTTCATATCTTAGCTCATGTAAACTGAGTTGTTATAAACACAAAGGTACCGATGACTCTATCATAACTGCCTGCTTCTACCAATAAGTTTCTGTGCCACAAACATCTTGCAGAATTTTCCCAGTGTTTCCTCTGGTAACTGATGGTATCTTATCATACCACTAGATGATGATGCATCTAGAATTGATTTTTGTGTGAGGCACAAGGTCACAATGCTGCTTCACATCTCTGCACATATGGGAACACTTTTGCCAGCACTGTTTGTGAGATTACCCTTTTGCAGGAACTGCTTTTAAATCAATTGTCCAAGATTCATTGGTTGTACATGTATGGGTTGATTTCTGAGGCTCTTGTGTACCATTGATCTACATGTCTATTTTTGTTTGTCTTTAACCGTACCAGTGTCCTGCTCTAATTATTACTGTGCTATTGCAGGTCCTGAAATCCATTATTCTGATGTGTCTGGCTTTGTTTTGGCCTTTTAAGATTGCTTTATTTTTTTTATAAATATGTTTTTTCATAATTAAAATGGTGAGGAATCAGATGGGCTGGTTGGTAGTTAGGACATCTGGTTCTTGGAGAAGTTGCTTTTTGAAAATATAAAATCTAGATCTCCCCCACTTTTCACTCTTTGAAGGGTACATTTTAAGTCAGTATGCTTGGGGGAAAGCAAAAGGAAAAAAGTCAGAACAGCAATCCCCATTTCTGAGTTATTGTTGACTACCTTGGAATAACCCTAACTAAAGATGTGGAAGACCTCTATCAGGAGTAAAACAAAATGGCGAAAAAAGTAATAAAAGATTTTATAGATGGAGAAATGTATTACGTTCCTGGATGCAGGGTCAACATAATCAAAATGTTCATATTGTGAAAGTAATATACAGATTCAATCCAATTCTAGTAAAAATCCTAAGAGAATTCTTCAGAATTAAAAAAAAAATCATGTATAAATGATATATATGGGACTACAAATAACCAAAGCTATCTTGAGGAGTAAGAATTCTTCAAGAATTCTTGAAGAGAATCCAGAGAGATCACAATTCCAGGTCTTAAGGTGTATTATAGTGTAATGATAATAAAACAGCCGGGTACTCTTACAGAAATAGAGAAGCGTATTAATGAAACAGGCTAGAAACACCAGAGGAGAGCCCACATATGCACAGCCAACTAATCTTCCACAACAAACTGTTAACAGCCCAGGAAAATGATAGTCTCTTCAACAAATGGAACAATTGGATAGCAGCCTGCAGAATAAGAAGGAAGATGCCCCACTTTGACCTTTACAAGGATCAAATCTAAACGGATAAAGGACTTGATTGTATCCAGAAACAATCAAATATTACAAGAAAACATAGGAAGCACTCTAAAAGATTTAGGCATAAGCTGAAAAGCATAATCTTTGAAGCCCAAAATAAACAACTAGGATTGCATCAAACTAAAGCTTATGTATAGTACAGGCAATGGTAAACCGAGCAAAGAGGCAACCAACACGATGGGAGAAAAATATTTATACATTGCACAACAAATGGGGATACTATCCAAGATATGTGAAGAGCTTCAGAAAAATATCAAAACAAATAAGCCAGTGAAGAAAAAGACCAAGGAAATGAACAGACAGTTTTCAAGGGAACAAACCAAAATGGGTGACAGACATATGAAAAAATGCTCAATCACCTTAGCAACAAGGGAAATACAATAAAAAAAACCATGTTGAGCTTCCTTTCAGCTCAACTGAAAACTGTCTGCATACAAAGATCTATTAATAACACCTGCTGGTGAGGATGTGGGAAAAGATATCCTACTTTGCTGTTGGTGGGAATGTAGGTAGTACAGCCACAAAGTCAGTGTGGTTAATGCTCAGAGAACTGAAATGTCATCTATCATATGACCCAGCAATCCCACTCTTGAAATACGTATCAAAAATAATGAAACCTTCGTATGAGAAAGCACCTTGCATCCCAGTATTCATTGCATCACAAATGATGATAACACAGACATGGAAACATTAATGCCCAATGATGGAGGACTGGATAAAGACATTTATTTTACATTCAATTCATGGGATACTATTAAAATTAAAACCCCCTGGGTGAAGAGAGCCTACAACAGCCTTGTGGCTTCTGGGAGTACCCAGGCCAAGTCAGATTCAATGCTTGGGGCCGTGGCCACAGCCACCACTACCACACAATGAGCCTTTACCAAGGAGGCTCTTGATAATTTACAAACTGAGTGAACAAATATCTCATTACTCTGGGTGAATATTGATAAGCAAAGTAAACTACTTACATAATTTAAGTTAAAAATTTGTCTTGATTTCTGCAGTGCGGCCTCTGCTACTCTTTGTGGCACATACTTCATTTTAATGTTTTATTAGATTTTGTTTTTAAGACTTATTTTTCTTTTTGCTTTTCTGTTTCGATAATCTTTACATAGTTGATTTAGTCAGAAAGTGTCAAGGGCTACAGGAAAGTGGGTAAGACCATTTTTTTCACATTTCTTGTGCATGTATCTGGGGTAAGGAGAGAAATAAAGGCAGAGGTGCCACCCAACCTCCAGCCCCATCCCAGGGCCCCCAATGTGGGCCATGTTCTGAGGGTAGATCAACAGTTCTGAATTGCTGCCAATCTCTCCATTTCAGGCACAATGAAATCTCTCCAGAATCCACTGGTTGACATAGTTGGCCTTATTGTCTGTGTTTGCCTAGAATTTTACTGGCAACATATGGCTGGGGCAGTTCATTGATTTGTTCTGTCCTCTGTTGTGGTACCAGGTGACCTCTTCAGGTTCCAATGGACTGCCGTATTCTCCATGTGCACCTGGATATGCTGTCCACTGCTTTGTCTGAGCCTCTAAGGAGGTTCAGCTATGACTCATGCACTTCATGATCAAACCATGGAACCTGAAATTTCCTCCATGGTTTGGGTTCTGCGTCTAGTGGTAATAATGAGGGTCAGTGTTATCCACACTTTCTGTCTTCTTAAGGTGCCTTGGGGCTTTCCTCTCAGCATGATATTTTAGGTTATCACTTTATGCAGTTAGAACTAAGCTGTATACTCATTTATAAAAGGTGTTTTAATGTACTTAATTTATAGGCAACTGTTCCCAAACTTTTTTCTATCATAATACTCCCACATCTGTAGCATTTATTGCAATTTTAGTCCAAGATAGGTAGGATTATCAAACTACATAAAACGCATAAAAAACATCAATTATACTTTTGGCAAGCTACTCACTTGTGACATTATGTAATTCACAAAACTGATAATTTCATGTCTAGCAGGAGTAATATCTAAGATTGATATCATAAACAGCGAATTTTCCTGACATTTTGTCAAAAAAAAAAAATCCAGCTTCATCACAGAACACACCTGTTCTTGGAGATTTCAGTACATGACACAGGGAAAGACATTCACCCAGCTACGTCTCTGATGTGAATCCATTGAGAGAGGAATCCTCAAGATGTAGTTATAGGGAAAGGATGGCTCCAGATCATCTCCTTCCAGGCCCATGACTGTCATTTCTCCTGCAGTAGAAGGATGGTTTGGGCATTGGCACTATTAAAGCAGGACCAATCCCAAGGAAACAGCAGTTTCTAGGAGACAGCAAAGGAGAGCAATTGGGTTCAAATTTTAACACCTGTACACTCATTTTTCAAGGCAGGCATGCCTGGGCAGGTTGCCTGCTCTCAGTCCTTGTCAACAGACAAAAGTAGAACAATAAGTTTGACTTTGTGGCCGGTACAAGCCACAACGGATTCCCCAAGCTAAATGCATTGCTCTCGGAGACTCATGTAAGCCTCCTCACTTCCTCACTGGTTTCTGTTGTAATGTTAGCATCTCAGTGAAACAACACAGTTCCTGGAAATCAGGAAACCATAACCTCCTGCAATCCTATTCATGAAAAGTGGTATTTTTGTCACAGGTAGCACTTTCCTGAACCAAAGCAACTGCAGTCATAGAATGTAGGTTGTTTCCTTGACTCTCTTCCTCCCCAGTGTCCATGCACTTTAAGGAAAGAGAAATGTTAGCCTTTACTTTAGCAGCACAGATGACCAAGGTCAAGATCACTTACTAAAGATGTTACACCGAATCTCTCCTGTATTGTGCCACCTCTCCTTCAGCGCCTTCTGCTAGTTTCACTCAGCCTTTTCTATTCCACACACTCAGAAGTACAGGAACCAGGTGTAATCAACAGTCACCTCTTCATTATGGCTTGCTTAAAGCTACATTTTAAACCTTATTAAACGAGCTACATCTTAGATCCTGTCTATGAATCCAGTATCTCCTAATGTCAAAGTGGTAATGTTTATCTTCCTCCCAAGCCTATGCACACCTGCACAAATCCTGCCAGACTCTTGGCTCCATTCCGGTGGACCTTTCAAGCACACTGTTTCATCCCGGCTGGAGCAGTTACCCATCTGAAGCCCATCCTTCCCAGTCAAATCTGAATGCCACTTATCCAAGATTGACTGTTGTGGAAACAAACATGTTACTTCTCCAATCTCAGGCTCACTGAGCAGAGCTGCTGTGATCCTTCATTTTCACTATTTGGACAAGTTCATTACCATTTTCTTAACTAGCCAATGTTTTAACATTCTTGGATAAATACAAAAATGTGTGCATATATATGGGCTTTCAAGCAAACATTTGAGAAGCAAAGATACTTAAATAAATATATAAAGTTTTTATTCCACTTGTTTGCTCCTCATAAGACAATAATGGCTAGGGTGAGGCTGGATGAAAGTATGATCCAAAAGTAATCCAGATATCTCGCATGAGTGGCAAGGACAAAACTACTTGATCATTCAACTGCTACATTCGAGGTTTTACAATAGTCAGAAAAAATCAGATTCAGGTACAAGACTCTAACATAGGCCCTTTATGCAGAATGTTGAAATTCTAACCAGGATCTTTATCCTAGGCCAAAAAAAATCTTACCAAAACCCCTACATATCTATTATTTTCCCAAACTAGAAATGCACAATGTATTATTAGATATGATCACCATGCAGTGAAGTGATTCACCAAAATGTTTACTTTTAGTCTTCCTGAAGGGTTGTGTCCTGCAACCAATATTGTTTCCAAATCTCTATCCTATGCTACCTAACCATCTCTGAAAATCAACTTTTATGCTTTTTTTAGTTACTTCATTTGAAGGGACAAAAAAATACTTTTTTTAAGTGCCTGAAGGAATCTCAGAGCTTTGCTGTTGCAAGCAAGAAGGTTACTCACAGGAGTAGATGATTATCACTACTTCCTACGTTGCTTCTCCCCAGTTAACAACATCACTGAATTTGAGCATCTGCTTCTGCAAGATTTCACCAAAGCATCATCGCCCTCTACTGAGCAACCATTATACAAACTCACAAATATTTTCAAATGGTTACATGATCCAGTAAACTCATCTCTGAATATATGATCTAGGGAATTGAAAACAATATGTTTATATCTATGTTTTTGCAGCCTCATTATCAATTCAAGTCCATCAACATTGAATCAATAACAACATATTGTATATCAGGACAACCATGAAGACTTACACTCGACTTGGAAGAGCTTTTTCAATAGACAGCAATTCACCAGTTCTTCCCATTTCATTTCACACAGAGCTATCTGTTATCACTTGCTGGTAACCATTCACCTCTTATTTCTACAGAGTGCAGGATCGGTAACACCTTAGGGATCAGCTGTGTCTTAGTCAAAACACTAGTTACCCCCGTAGCACAGAACAACATCCTAGATTCCTGGATTCTGATATTATTTTGAATAACCAAATCATATTTCCTCTTGACCTCCCAGGAAGTGCCAGCTGTATCCCAGATTATCCCAACTCTACATTAAACCAGAAAGGCATTACTTATTCACACAGTTCTAGGGTCCAGCCCCAAAAAACCAGAAAAACTAGCCCTGGAACTCTAAGCACCATTTTGCAAGTTATCCACCAGTGTTTTATTGATCGTGCCCTGGGAGGCCGTTGCCCTCCAGACATTTTAGCTCATCGGCTTGGATCCAGTCAGCACCCTGGAGAGGTGCAAAGTGCTCAAGAGCAGAGAATCTGGCAGGGCCATTGGCCACTTTGTGTTCCTGTTGCACGACAGGGTTCTGTCTTGTCAGTGAGATAAAATGCAACGGGCCCCACTCTATTCTCTGTGGCTGCTAGTCTGTAGCTAAAGATGCAGGTTCAGAAGCAGATTCATGCAAGGGAAGTACCCTATGCAAACCTAAAGTTGTAAAGCCATCCTGCCCACCGAAGCCCAGGTTTACACTAGCTGCCTTGCCAAAGAGCCAAACTGTGGATTGTGACTGAGGTCTTGGATGTCACTTGATCTGCTTACTGGTACAGCCTGGCTCTGGGTGGTTGTGGTTGTGGGTGTCCCTGGATTATGCATTCCATGGCAACTACCAAGTGGTAGGGATGGTGATGCTACAAGAAATGCTTACTGGGAGGTCTTGGTCCATACCGGCCTTGTCTATGCCCTATGTGGTGAATCACTGCCTCCTGTTTTGGTCCCATGAAAGTAAAGGAAAAAGACCTTTAATCTAGGGCAAGAAGCAAGCAGTTCAAGTGATTTCCAACTGGACAAAAATTCAGAGCAAGGGTTGGTGAAACACTTGTGGTGTACGCTGATTTCCCCTCAGTGCTCTCAATGAAATGTCTGGATATACCAGCTGATTTCCCCTCAGTGCTCTCTCAATGAAATGTCTGGATAAACCAGCTGATTTCCCCTCAGTGCTCTCTCAATGAAATGTCTGGATAAACCAGCTGATTTCCCCTCAGTGCTCTCTCAATGAAATGTCTGGATAAACCAGCTGATTTCCCCTCAGTGCTCTCTCAATGAAATGTCGGGATAAACCAGCTGATTTCCCCTCAGTGCTCCCTCAATGAAATGTCTGGATAAACCAGCTGATTTCCCCTCAGTGCTCTCTCAATGAAATGTCGGGATAAACCAGCTGATTTCCCCTCAGTGCTCTCTCAATGAAATGTTGGGATAAACCAGCTGATTTCCCCTCAGTGCTTTCTCAATGAAATGTTGGGATAAACCAGCTTTCCAGAGCCCACATTAGCATGAAGGCAGCTTTGAACACTGAGAAAGATGGCATGGACAATTTTCAGAGCATTTGCCTCCTCCAGCCATGGTGCTCCTGCTTATCTGACACTGGCTGCACTGGAGACTCTAAAAAAGAAATAAGTTTGAATGCTTCATCCACAGGGCTGTAACAAAGGTAATAACAGGAATTAGAATCTGGGATTACAGGAACAATGTAAGGATGACCTCTTTAAAACCTGAGACGTGGTTTAGATATGTTTACTTCTACTAGGAAAAATAGCAGATACCTTCCCTGAAATGATTAGGTGGAGCCTTCAAGACTTCAGACACATGTTTCCATGTTCGTAAGTTTTTAGTTTAAGAATTTATGATTTGACGCCAATTTAAAAATAGGTCTGGTTCGGTCCTTGGGCTCTGGGGCAACTGACGCTCCCTGCAGTGTGGCTACTGTGGGGGGTGCCCCTGCCGGGTCGGACCCAATGCGGGGGACTCACGCCAAAGACACTGCCACAAGGCAGTGAACGAGTCCTCGGCCTCCCCCAGGACCCAAGAGAGCTCTTCCCTCAGGGTAAGTCCGCCATGAGGGAACTTGGGAACTGGGTGGAAATTCCTAGCTCCGCCCAGCTGCTAAGGCCATGCGGCTGGGGGAGTTTGGGAGGAGTTCGGTCCTTGGGCTCTGGGGCAACTGACGCTCCCTGCAGTGTGGCTACTGTGGGGGGTGCCCCTGCCGGGTCGGACCCAATGCGGGGGACTCACGCCAAAGACACTGCCACAAGGCAGTGAACGAGTCCTCGGCCTCCCCCAGGACCCAAGAGAGCTCTTCCCTCAGGGTAAGTCCGCCATGAGGGAACTTGGGAACTGGGTGGAAATTCCTAGCTCCGCCCAGCTGCTAAGACCATGCGGCTGGGGGAGTTTGGGAGGAGTTCGGTCCTTGGGCTCTGGGGCAACTGACGCTCCCTGCAGTGTGGCTACTGTGGGGGGTGCCCCTGCCGGGTCGGACCCAATGCGGGGGACTCACGCCAAAGACACTGCCACAAGGCAGTGAACGAGTCCTCGGCCTCCCCCAGGGCGGCCAGTGCACCACATGGTGCCAGGCATTGCCTGCTGGCCGCCCGGAAGGGCAAACTCTGGGGTTTTCAAGATATGTAGTTGCTGCCTGGGGTCACTCATGACTAAGACTAGTTTGAATGTAGGTGCAAAGTGAATTTTCGGGTATTCTCAGTGACAGGGTCATGAAAGATTTAAGCAGGCAAGGGGACCAAGACCTAGTGGTTTGGGGGAAGTGTCCAGAAGATAATTTTAGTAAGACAGATGCAACAGCTCAATTATGAATACAGAGATGGAATATTAGTATAGAACATCACTGATCACCACATACTAGCCCACACCGAAGCTATGGATGGGGGCCTCTTTGGCAGTGTTGGGTACCATTGCCCGACTGAGTGTTGGAGTTGTGGAGTGGTCACATCTGGCAGGATCAAGACACTCTCCAGCACACAAGAGAACTTGGGCTGGGGGTAGGCTCTGTGGGGTTGTGTGGGCCCAACCCTTTGGAATACAAGTCCCCCGGGTTAGTTCCCAAGCTGGGGTTGCAATGGTCTAAGCTAGGTGTGACCACGCCATCTGCCATCACTCATGGGTAAAGGAATCCACAACAGTCAGGGTAGGTCAAGGCAGCAGCACCCAAATGTGCATCTTTAAACAAGATGTGGGGTGGGCCGGGCTGCCACTGGAAGGGGGTAGAATGGGCAGGGCTGAACAAACCTTAACTCACAAGTAACAACAGAAATCAGGTTGGAGCACAGCTCATGCCAGGTAGGTCCTTGCACATACTGATCTGTGTGAGGCAGAGGCACTAAGCCACAGCATCCAAGGGGCCAGGACAAGTGAGGGGCTCTGCCAAGCGGAGACAGAACAACCACCGGCCTACACCTGCTCTATGGCAGGGAAGAGGCCCGGTTGGGAAAATAACGGGACACCCTAGCTGGGTTGAGTTTCCCACCAAGGAGCGCATGGGCTGGAACTGAGGCTACATTCTGATCAGGATACGATCGTAATCTCACTTGGCACAATTGTGGACTGGGATGGGAAGCACCAAGCCAGGCCAAATTCCAACACCATCTGGTGCTCTGGAGGACCGGGGAGGGTTGTGTGACAGACTAGGTTAGGTCTCAGCCCTTACTGAACCATGTGTGAGCTGGGTAGGGGTATGGAAGAGCCATGGATGGGTTGAAATATCCAACAACAAGAACCAGCTTGGGTCGGAGGCCAGGCAGGAAAAGCCACTGTTCCTCCTAGGATAGCAGGCGAACTGAGTAGTGCTGGCTCATGGACCCACTGGTATGCGCGAAAACTGGCATTGGGAGAGGTTCTGGTGGAGGAGCCTGGGCAACTTCTCTGGCAGGACACAGTCCCATGCAGGTAAGCACAAGAAGCACAATAGGGAACAACCCAGAACAGGCAATGAAAATTATCCCACTGGCATACACATGGCATGGGTTGGGGGCAGACCAGCCTGAATCTGTTCACATTACCTTCTGGTGAATCCGAGCACCAGAACAGAGTGTGGGCCGAGCCAGGTTCGGTTGCAACACATACCAGTACACAACAAGTAATGCCAAGGTAAGATGAGCCGTACCAGATGTGGCTGCAGCACACAAACAGCACATGTGACAATCAGGGAGGAGGCAAAGCCAACAGGGGAACGTGGGCACCCCTGCTGGATAACTACTTCCATTGGAAAGTGTGAATACGGATGGGGGCAGTTCAGACTAGGCAGGGCTATAGCACCTGTGGGCCTCACGGTGAGCTGACTGTTCTGACTGGTGCAAGTTAAAATTAGAGTGGGTTGAGGGGTGTTTGGGCTTAGCCACAGCGTTAACTGGCAGAGGCTGGTACTAGGAGCCAATTCTGACAAGTCAAATGCCAAAACTACCTGGAGACGGCATACTCTGGGAGTGGGTGTGACCTAGTAGGGAAATAGTGGGCACCTCCCTCAGGGTTACCACCCTCACTGGACAGCATGAAACCCAGGCTAGGAGCAGGGGTGGCTTGACAGAAAGGCACCTGCCAGTGGGTGTATGGGCTGGATAATAGGTTGGTTGGGTTGAACCAGGCTTCAATGTCCATTGACGTGTGCGAGAGCTAATTGGGATGTGGGACAGACTGGACAAGCCTGCAGTGCATACTGGCAAGCATGGGAACCAGGGTAGGGGGCAGAACTGGTAGGGGTTTTGGGGAGTCGCCCCAACTAGGCTGTAGCTCCAACTGGTTTGCATGAAGACCGAGTATGAAGTGGGTAGAATCGAGCTGGACTACAACACCCATTGGTTCACAAGGAAGACAGGGCTGGAAGCCGAACGGACCCAGCAATCGCAACGACCAGCATATGCATAAGCTGATTGGTGTGACGAACAGTGTTGGAGTCTGTACTAGCAAACTCACTCAAGAATCAGATCTGGGATCAACTCAGATGAAGTTTCTTTGGATATTTCTCGAACTGAACTGCTGATCTTGGAACCCCAACCATCAAGAGACTGTCAGCCAGTAGACTCTGAATAAGTTTCATTACGGTTGGGACGGAGAGATTGGCAGCAATCCAGAACTGATGAACTATCAAAACTGTATGAGCAGGACCCTTGGAGCGCGCCTCATGTTGGGGATCGGGCATGAGTGGGAGGTAGGGTGGGGCTTTCCCCTTTGTTACTCCCCTAACCCTAGATACAGGGCAAAATGATTATATTAGTGTGGAAACAATGATATTACCCACTCTCACCCTGTAGCCCGTGACCCTTTGTACCCTAATAAACTAAGATTATTTTTAAAAAAAAATAGGTCTCCCTTTGATAATTTCAGGATAATAATGTATTTGGATTAATATAAGTTACATCCCTACAGTTAATTGACACTAAAGATAAGTGTTTTGATGTAACATTTCAGAGGTAGTGACAAGCCTGTGGTTAATGTTCTGTGTTAACTTAATTTTTAAATATTTGCATTCTTTTTTTCAAATTTATTACATTGTATTATGTGGCACAGTTGTAGGTACTGGGATTCCCTCCATCCTTCCCCCACCCCTCCCTCCATGGTGGATTCCTCCACCTTGCTGCATTGCCACAGTTCAAGTTCAGTTGGGGTTCTTTCATTGCAAGCTTATATATGGAAACATTTTCAAAATGAACTTCTACATTTAAGGTATTTCTGTGTGTGTGTAACATATACTTACACATATTACTTATTTTTAACTTAACATGACACTTTATAAAGGATGTAAAACCCAATGTGCTGCTTCAGTTTGTTAAAGTATGGAAGCTTCTCAGCTTGAAGTAGTCACATTGGCTTAGTTTGGCTTTGACTGCCTCTGCATTTGGTGACTTTTCTGATTCTTTCCAATTTCCTATATTTGGAGAGTGCTTCCTATTTTTTTCCAACAACTTGAGGATTTTTGGTACAGATTTGGGTCCTTGATCCACTTAGAGCTGGTTGTTGTATAAGGTGACGGAAGTCTTGCATCTTTTCTAATCAGGCTGCTATCCATTTGTTCCAAAAGCATTTGTTGAACAGACCAACCTTTGCCCTGGATTATGTTCTCTTGTTGAGGATAAGTTGTCTGTACATGTGTGGGCTTCCTTCTGGGGTTTCTGTTCTGCTCCATTCATCTTTACTGACTCTGTACCAGTGGAAGACTGTTTGGGGACCACTGCCCTATAGTATGTCCTGTAGGTCCTGAGGTCTGGAATTGTGATTCCTCCACCTTGATTTTTATTCTTCAGGATAGCTTTGGCAATGTGTGGTCTACTGTGTTTCCATATGAACTTTTCTATCACCTTCTCAATTTTTGAGAAGAATTTTGCAGAGATTTTGCTCACAATACTATTGCTTTTGATAACAGGGATATTTTGATGATGTTGACACAACCAATTCAGGAACATGGTAAGTTTCTCCATTTTATAATGTCCTCTTCTACTCCTTTAAAAATTCAAACATATTATTGTTATCGCTGCTATTATTATTATTTTATGGTACAGCTCAATAGGCCCTGGGATTGCCCTTTAACCTCCCCCAATCCCCTCTCCTCTGGGTTAGTTCCACTACATTATTACTATAGTATATTTCTTCACAGAGAGTCATGTATCCATCATTGTGAGCATGGACAATGGCTGAAGGTCCAAAATCCTATCATCAAAATAGAGTAAAACACTTTCATTGGGAGTCCATCTTTTTCCAGGAAGTAGAAATGCATATGGCATTGTATCTTCACATCTGAATATGATCGTCTCTATTACACAGTTACTATGCATCAGCTTAAATGAAAAGCCACAGACAAAATCAACAGGAAGAAAAAAGAAATTAACAGCACCAGGAAGTTAAATAACATGCTACCAAATGACTAATGTATGGCTGATTTATTGGCATATAGTAACTTGTAATATTTTCTAACAATTCTATGTATGTCCAAAGTATCTGTTATATTTCCTTGATCATCTCTGCTGCTCTTGATTTGTATCTATCTTAACCCTCCTTTTTGATGAGTTGAGTTAGTGGGGGATCGATTTTGCTATTTTCCTCAAAGCAAAAATGCAGCTCTTTGTTTCATTGAGCTTATTTTTTGTCTCTTTTTGGTTTGTTTCCTCCCTTATTTTGGTTATTTCTTTTTTGTGTATGCTAACCTTGGGATTGTTTTGATATTTTTCTAGCTCCTTCAACTATAAGGTTAACTCATTTACACGGTGCTGTTCAAATTTCCTAACATAAACATTGATTGCGATGAACTTTCCTCTTAACTATGCCTTGATTGTGCTCCATAAGCTTTGATATGTTGTGTTGATGTCTTCAGTTGTTTCAGTTATTTTTTAAAATTTCCCTTTTGAGTTAATCTCTAACCCATTACTCATTTAACAACGTATTATTCAGCCACCATGTGTTTACATGTCTTTCTTGGTGTTTTGACTTCTTGGTCTCTAGCAGCACTCCATGATGATCTGAGAAGATGCATGGTTTAATTTCATTTTTAAAAATTGCTGAGGCTTGTTTGTGGCCTATACCATGGTCAGTTCTGGAGAAGGTTCTATGCACTGATGTTTAAAAAAGTATTCTCTATCTGTAGGATGGGAGGTTTAATAGATATAAACTAAGTCCGTTTGCTACAGTGTCTGTTTAAGTTCTATTGTTTTCTTGTCGAGTTTCAGTTTCCTCTATCCATTCAGTGATATTAGTGGCATATTAAGGTCCCCAACTATTATTGTATTGGAGTTTTTTTTCCCTTTAAGTCCGTAATATTTGTTACACATAGCAAGTTACCTTGGCATTTGGTGCGTATACATCTATCATGGTGATCTCTCCTTGCTGATCGGATCCTTTGAACATTATGTGGTATCTTTCTTCATCTCTTTTAATGTTTCTCAGGTCAAAGTCTACATTGTTTGATTAAAGAATGGCTAAACAATTCCTTTCCACTCACCTGGAAAATGTTTTTTCATCCTTTCACTTTCAGGTTCTGCTGATCTTTGTTGGTGAGATGTGTTTCCTGCACGGAACAGATAGATGGGTTTTGTTTTCTTGATTCAGTCCACTAATTTGTGACATTTTATAGATGCATTTAAGGCATTTACATTCAGGGATAGTATGGATAGGTTGCAATTTTGCCTGTCATTTTAGAATTGGGTTGTTCCTTGGTTTTGTCTTTTGTTGTCCTTTTTCTGTGCTGCACTCCACATTTACCTTTGGTTTTGGTAGTTGTTTTTTAATTTTCTGTCAGAAGAACATCTTTCACTATTATTTCTAGGGAATGTTTGGATGGGGTGAGGAGTAGAGACAGAGAAGAAGATGTTCCATCCGATGGTTCACTCCCTAAGCAGCTGCAACAGCTGGAGCTGAGCCAATCCAAGTCCAGAAGCCAAGAGCTTCTTCCAGGTCTCCCACTCAGGTGCAGGGTCCCAAGGATTTGGGCCAGTCTCAACTGCTGTCTCAGGGCAAAGGAAAAAGCTGGATGGGAAGTGGAGCTGCAGAGATTAGAACCACTGATCATATGGGATCCCAGTGCAGGCAAGGTGAGGGCCTTAACCACTACACTATTGTGCTGGGCCCAGAAGATTATTTAATTTTCTAACAGAACTTTACTGGATCTATTATTCTGGATGAAAATTTGTTTTCCTTTTAGAATCTAGACTATGTCCCTCAATTCTCTTCTGGTTTGTTGAGTTTCAAGTATGAAAGTTTCCTGGAAACTGCTGTAGAAGCAGCCATGCCACACCTTCACTGCCAGGCTCACAGAGCAGAAATTCTGCTATCCTTCATTTATACCACAATTTTAGTGGTGCGATTTTATTTGAGCACAGAAATTCTTAAACTTATATATTGGGAAGCAAGAATGACATATTTTTAATTTAGATTTTTTTTTTTTTTTATGATGCAGTCCCATAGGCTCTGGGATTTCCTTTATCACCACTGTAAAATCACCTCCCTCCACTGATTTTCCCCGTATGCTTACATTACCCCAGTCTTTTAAAGATTGTCATACGTCCATCATTCTGCTATTTAAATGCATTCTGATATAGGTATAGACAGTGACAGAGTCAACCATCGTATTGTAAATACATATTAACTTGAATGAAATACATGTTTCCCTAATAGATGTCAAGAAATTAATGTATGTGCTATGAGTTCATTTTTTAAAGAATCATATTTAATTTTATATTCTTTCCGGGATGAATTTTAAAAGATAGCATCATATGCTTCAAGATTTGTTTTCACATTTAAAATTATCCAAAACACACACTAGTCCTTGCACTGCAGCTTTCAGGGCTGGAGAACTCATGCCAGGGGCTGGGATTATTGCAATGTGCTCAGGGATCTCCCACATGCTTGGGTTCTGGGTTGGGTGTGGGGAAGGTCAGGGCACCAGGCTGGCATGCTAATTGACCAGGCATCGGAACAAATATAAGTTTATGTGTCTCAGGCCAGATGGACTAGTTTTAGGGACCGATGCATGCAGTTTAGCCCAGGTAGGCTGGCAGGGCTCTAGATTGGCATGGACCCCAGCTGGAAGACCAAAATGGGGATCCATGCACTTTCAGGTGTGGGGGCTGTAGAATGCTTAGGGTGTGGAGGGGAGCAGTGAGAGTGGTAGCAAGAGAGGAGATGACTTCTGGGGATTAGGGTTAGAGTTAGTTGCCAACAAGGCCACTGTATGTGCAGGTAAGCAAGGTGACTGAGATGGAGCAGTTTCAAGGTGGGAGAATTTTTCTGAGTCAGTAAGATGTACCTGTCCAAATGGGAGACTTGACCTGATCTAGTTAGCACAGACAACCACCCAATGGCACACATGAAAGCTAGGGCTGTGGGGCCTACCTGTCTGTGCAGGACCATAGTACCTGTGAGTGTCCTGCCAAAGTACACTAGGGCATGGCTGAGCAATGACACTAATTAGCAGGTGAGAGAAACAGGTCTAGGGGGATATTATTAGGGGGATGTGGGCTCATCCCCTTGGAACTGCATATTTTCTGATTTGCTCAAGAACCAGGAATGGAAATGGGCTAGAAATGACCATGGAAGTCACCAATACTCATGGAACTGGGATTTAAAATAGGCTTAGCTGGTCCAGAAAGCAGCACTTGTATGCAATTCAAAATTCACATGTGTTGGAGGCAGGTTGGGCCACAACATCCACCAGTACAACCAGAAGCCAAGTCTAGAGGGTGGATTTTCCCAGGTAAAGGACTTAGCCCCTGCTGGCACACATAATATCTAGGCTGAAAGTGGGCTGTTGGAGGTCACAGCTCCCAATGTGGAGCATGTTGGTCAGGTCTGGGTGTTGATCAAGCAAGGCAAAACTGTTCCAATTGTTCTGCAGGTTTGTTGGCCGGCTACGGGAGTGGGTGCAACAACACACTGGCATGCACAGGATCCAGGATGGGTTGAGGACCGTGCCTGGCTAGGCTATCACACCTACCATGTTATATGAAAGCCGGGGAGCGGGGGCAGGCTGGACATGGATAGGCTGCAGCATCCACCAGCAAGAATTGTGGTTGGAGGCAGACATGAAGGGCCAGGTTGAAGCATCCAAAGGCAAAGGCCGAGGCTGAGTATCACCTGTCCCAGACTGAGTTAGGCAGCTGTCAGTATGTGCAAGATCTATGGCTGGCAGCGGACCTGATAATGGAGCTAAGAGTACTCTGTGGCTGGGTTCTAGTGAGAAAGAGCCAGAACCAGGGCAGCAATCTGACTGGATATGGCTACTGATTTCCTCAGCATGGGTGTAGACTCGGTCTGGGGTGCACCAAACAGGGCTAGGCTCTAGGACCAGCTGGTGCTTGTAAGATTCAGAGTTGTTGAAGGACAGGCTGAGCTAGATCCTAGAACCCATTAAATCATGTGAGA